AAAACAAAATGTAAAGTCACAAATGTTTCTCTTCTTGTACTCTTACTAACAAAATTACCTGTGTGTTTATCTGGGGTTGAGCCCAAATTACAAATCATTAGTAGCCACTGAAAAATGAAAATGGATGACACCATTCCTTCATTTCAGAAACAGTAGTCAAAATTCAATACTTTCATCTATTCATTCTACAGCAAAGACACAAAGCAAAAGACACAGGCACTGAATTATTATAAATTAATTGTAGCTTGGGGGGTGGGGGGTGAGGGGCTGAGGGTAGAGGAATTGAGCCAGAAAAGAGAGAAAGAGAATTCTGGCCAAGATGGAGGTGTAGGTAGACACACTGTGCCTCCTCCCACAACCAAAATAAGGACAACAAAAAATTAGAAACAAAATAACAACCAGTACTGACAGAAAACTGAACTGTATGGAAGTCTGACAACCAAGGAGTGAAAGTAGACACATTCATCCAGACCCATAGAAGGGGCAGAGTTGGGCAGAGATAGGTTGCAGCAAGAAAAAAAAAGCAGTGGCTGGCGGACCCCAGGCGCACAAGGTGGCAGCAGGCAGACCAGCGAGGCAGCAGATTGTGGAGGGACTTGGTGCACAAGGCAGCTGGCAGAACCAGGCAGTCCCACATTCGATAAACCAGGCCAAACTGGGAAGCGAGACAGAATGCACAACCCAGGGTCCCAGCTCGGGGAAATAAAGCCTCAAAACACCAATTAAAAACACCTGTGGGGGTTGAGGTGCCGGGAGAAACTCCCAGCCTCACAGGAGTGTTCGTTGGAGAGATTCACAGGGTCCTAGAATGTACACAAGCCCACCCACATGGGAATCAGCACCAGTAGGGCCCACTTTGCTTGGGAGAAGTGGTGGAAGGGGCTGAAATCCTGCAGAGAGCAGAGCAAGTGCTACTGTTCCCTCTTGGACCACTGCCCCACATACAGTGTCACAATGCAGCTACGTGGGTTGCCCTGCCCTGGTGAATGCCTAAGGCTCTGCCCCTCACTACATAACAGGCATGTCAAGACAAAAAAAAAATGGCCCAAACGAAAGAACAGATCAAAGTTGCAGAAGAAATACAACTGAGCAATGAAGAGATACCCAACCTATCAGATGTACAGTTTAAAGCACTGGTAATCAGGATGCTCACAGAATTGGTTGAATTTAGTCGCAAATTAGATGAAAAAATGAAGGTTACGCTAAGTGAAATGAAGGAAAATGCACAGGGAACCAACAGTGATGGGAAGGAAACTGGGACTCAAATCAATGGAGTGGACCAGAAGAAAGAAACAACCAAACAGAAAAGAATGGAGAAATAAGAATTCAAAAAAATGAGGAGAGGCTTAGGAACCTCCAGGACATCTTGAAACATTCCAACATCTGAATTATAGGGGTATCAGAAGGGGAAGAGGAAGAGCAACGAGAGGAAAAGTTATCTGAACAAATAATGAAGGAGAACTTCCCCAATTTGGCAAAGGAACTAGACTTCCAGGAAGTCCAGGAAGCTCAGAGAGTCCCAAAGAAGTTGGACCCAAGGAGGAACACACCAAGGCACATCATCATTACATTAGCCAAGGTAAAAATGAAGGAGAGAATCCTAGAAGCAGCAAGAGATAAGCAGACAGTAACCTACAAAGGAGTTCCCATCAGACTGTCAGCTGACTTCTCAAAAGAGACCTTGCAGGAAAGAAGGGGCTGGAAAGAAGTATTCCAAGTCATGAAAGGCAAGCACCTACATCCAAGATTACTCTATCCAGCAAAGATTTCATTTAGAATGGAAGGGCAAATAAAGTGCTTCTCAGATAAGGTCAAGTTAAAGGAGTGCATCATCATCAAGCCCTTATTATATGAAATGTTAAAGGGACTTATCTAAGAAAAAGAAGATAGAAAACATGTATAGTAAAATGACAGGAAACTCACAATTATTAACAACCACACCTAAAACAAAAACAAAAACAAAAACAAACTAAGCAAACAACTAGAACAGGAAGAGAACCACAGAAATGGAGAGCACATGGAGGGTTAACAACAGGGGAGTGGGAGGAGAAGGGTGGGGGGAAGGTATAGAGAATAAGTAGCATAGATGGTAGGTAGAAAATAGACAGGGGGAGGCTAAGAATAGTATGGGAAATGTAGAAGCTAAAGAACTTATAAGTGTGACACATGGACAGGAACTAAAGGAGGGGAATGTGTGTGGGAGAGGGTATGCAGGGTGCAGGGGAGTGAAGGGGAGAAAATGGGACAACTGTAATAGCTTTCAGCTGATTTAATCAATAGCTGTCACAATCAATAACATATATTTTATAAAAAGAGAAAGAACTCGTGGACACAGACAACAGTGTGGTGACTGAGGGGGTGGTGGGTGGAAGGGTGGATGAAGGAAGGGAGTATAAGGGGGTTAAATGATGATGAAAAATTAAATTAAAATTAAAAAATAAAAAGAAATTAAGTAGAGATAGAAGAGAGATTGGCTACAGTTTGATATTTAGACTAATAGTTAAGTCTTTAAGAAAATACACATACATCCCAGAACTTTATGCTCTTCCTGGAATGTTCTTTCCCAAGTTATTCATGGAAAGGTGCTTAATAAATAATAGCTTTATGTAGGTAGACATAATACAAATGAAGATACCCTATTTTAAAACACTAGGATCCAAGTATTTATAATTCAAGCTTTTTCTACCAATAACATGGATTTTTAGATATCTTTGTGTGACATTAAGTTCACTTTCTAGCCATTTCTCTGAAGTCTGTTGCTCAGATCTTAGGTATTATACAGCCAAACATTCATAAACCACAATTAGGGCAAGCCCTCTAAGTTAGTTCTCACTACCCCATAGTGAGTCAGAAGGGAATCCTTAGGCAACAAAGTAGTAATGAATAAAACACAAAAGGCCAAATGCTAGGTTACATGTTAACTCAGCAATGAGGCCCAGACTGGGGTCCTTTGGGAGATTCTCAGTTCATACTGATCATTTATAAAGTAGGGGGTACCTGTGAGCTACAAGAGACCATGGGGTGTACCCATGGGCAAGGTATATCCATGAGGGATGTACAAACAGGAACCTGAGAACAATTATAAGAGTACTGCCTTTGACAAACTTCAAATAAGATATGTAGATAATTACTGAATTCATGTTAATTTCCTGCTTTAGATTATTACACTATGGTTATGAAAGATGTTAATATTAGGGGAAGCTAGGTGAAGGTATACAGGTACCCTGTATGCTATTTTTGCAATTTTTTGCATGTCTAAATTTTTAAAAATACATTTAAATAACAAAAAGAACATTGACATTAAAACTGAAATGACACCAAATCCAGTCCTTAAAAGGCTCTGATGCTAGTTTTCTAGAGAATTGGAAAAGCCATACTAGCATGGCCAGTAAGAAGGATGCTAAGACAAGGAGAGTCTAACAAGGAGAGTCTAAAGTTGATTGCAAACCTCCTATTTCTTGGTGGGTGAAGACTTCATATGTTTTGGATATGTGATATGTGGGCTGGAGAGTTAGGGCAATCCAATATACAATGGCCCCTTTCTTAACTACTGGAGGATGGGAGGAGACACAGTGTTCACCAATATTAAAGGGCTCCCACAGCATTCTTAGCCTTCTATGAAGTGAATGATTCAGATAGGAACATGAACAGAGGTGATGCATAAGAGTTGGTGAGGTGCCTCCTTCCCGCTCTTGCTGGGCCCAGGACACCAGTGTTACAAGCTGGAGGCAGCCTACATCCCTGAGGCAGCAAATGGAGAAGACTCCTGCCAACCCATGTAGTGAGATTAATTGTTATCATGTTAAGCCACAGAGATTTCTGATTGTCTGCTGTGGCAGCTAGCATTTCTTAAAATAATCCCAATAAAGATATTTCCACTGAGAATAATTACCCTAGAACTTCTAAGAAAAAGAAAATGTGCTAAAACTTATCAGTTTATAGCAATATATTCATAGTGGAGAATGAAAATATCCAAACTCTCTTTATATTTCGTTGTTTCCTCCATTATACTACAGAAATACTCACACAAGTAGGCAAAGATTTACATCCAAGCATGTTTACTGCCATGCTGCCTGTTTGTGTTAGGAAAAAAATGAAAACAAGGCAACTGCCCATTAAATAGGGAAAGAGGATAGCCATTCAATGAACTATTTTCTGTCATCCCCACACATTCCCTCTGATGTGTGCTCTGTCCACACTCTCTCTAGCTGGACTCCTAATCAGTGGTGGCCACAGCTGTGCCATGATGCACTGGGACACCCAGTAAACGTGCATTTTCTGTGATGGATAACAGTCACTGATACAGGACAATAAGTACATGGTAGTTTTTTGTACTATCCTCTTCATGTGAGTCGGAAGTTTTCCCTAATACAAAGTTCTAAAGCTGCATACTTCAGAAAATTGACATAATTATAACTAACATTTGCTATAAACAGAAATTATTACACTCAATAAAAGAAGAAAGAAAACTACCCCAGGCAGATAAAGCAATTTGATCTAGTATATCAGCAGTTAGAATGGGCTGCTGATTAACTCATTAGTCTACTATAATCATTCACATAAACCCAGTGGCAATCGAACCTATTTTTACAATATCTAGATTTAAGAGTCCATGACCTTGTTTGAAAAAACAAAATACTGACTATGAAACATTCCCAATGGATTTGCATTTCCTAGACAATATTGTTGACCCTAAAATTCAAGATTCTTGCTTTGTTGTTACTGAAATTAAATTAAATGTAATATCATAACACAGCCAAACATTCTAATAACCAAAAACACTCCTTGAAATAACTTCATGTTTTAAATTACAGATTAAAAGAAAATACAGAAACATGATCCATAAATATTTATTTTCTAAGTCATGCTTATTTTTTAAAATAATAATGTGATCTTACTGTTAATATTGATTAGTGCTCAAGAAAGAGGTTCTTTTAACACTATAAGATTATTTGCCTATGTATAAAACTTAAACTTCCCTTATTAGTTTAACCTCTTACCCAAAATTACTTTTCAGCCTGTTAAATGTAGACAATGCTTCTAACTGTAAGATACACAGATTCTGGAGACTGGTCAGGGTGATTCCGAGAGCCTTGGCCTGGAGAAATATAACAGAATGGGTAAGCTCTGAAGAACAGCTTTGCAAGCAGGCCTTCTCATCAAAAAAGAACAGACAGACCTGTAAACCTCAGTGCAACTACAGAGTGAACTTCCAAGGTCAAATGTATGCTTCCAAAGTGAAATAGCAAGAGCACGAATTATTTCTAGAACAGCTGACTCCTGGAGGAGTCAAATCTTGAGGCTCTATTTGTTTAAACAGACCATAATACAAGTCATGGTACTTAAGGAAGTTCAGTCAGGAGAAATCTGAAGCAGTGAAATCTGAAAGACTGTCTTCTGTTGGAACTCAGTTCTCTTATGGCTATGTGATATAACCTTGAACAAGTCATTTAAAGAGAGAACTGACCTGTGTTTCTCCCCTCTCATGATAGTTGTAAGAGTCACATGCATGGATGTGAAACAAAGAAACTGTTAGTTCTCAAATTTATTTTTATTAACAATGAAATTATGCTATTATTGTAATCCTCATTCATGTATAACAATTACATTTTTCAAAAGCAAGGTTTACATTTAGAGTTACACATTTCTAAAATGTTTCTCAATATTGCACTTAAAAAAGAACAGTTTGAAAAGACCACCAGAGCTACTGTCCAAAGAGAGAAGGCAAGATTAGAAGTTATGAATGAACATCTAACTTTTTTTTTAAGATTTTATTTACTTATTTTTAGAGAGGGAAGGGAGGGAGACAGAGAGAGAGAGAGAAACATCAATGTGCGGTTGCTGGGGATTATGGCCTGCAACCCAGGCATGTACCCTGGCTGGGAATCGAACCTGTGACACTTTGGTTCACAGCCTGCACTCAATCCACTGAGCTACGCCAGCCAGGGCTAACATCTGTCTAACTTTTAAAAGAGCAGGCTATATGTCTGTTTGGGTGACTTAATTATAAGCCACTAATAAGTAAAATTATTTAGATTTCATAAGCTACTTTAATTTTTTAGATTATTTTTATTTCACACTCAAAAACCAAACTCAACTACTACTTTCATATATTTGTATACTTTGGATCAATACGACGTTCAAACAATGATAAGTTCAAACAACGATACTTTATGAATCTGGTCATTGTCCTTTAATATCAGGTAACATAGTATTCAACCACAATACACTTGTTAAAAACCACATTAGTAACTATATGTCCTCTTTCTGCTTCAGGAAGCTGCAGACACACTGGCAAAATTATACAGGGGTTGGTTAATAATATTATACAGGGCAGGTTAATAATAATTAATAATATAATAATTAGTAAGTAAATAATAATACAAGAATAAATTGTTTCATATATTAACAACTATAAACATACTTTTGCCCACCTCTGTTATTTTTTAGAAACATTTTTATTCTTTTTCTTTATTTTTATTATTAGCACTATTACAGATTTCCCCATTTTCCCCTCCTTTGCCTACCTCTTCTCAGACCCAGCTCCCCTTCCCTCTGGCCCTCACCACATTGTTGTCTGTATCTAGGGTTTATACACATATGTTCTTTGGCTAATCCCTTCCCCCTCTCATTTAGGGCTTCCTCCCCCACTCCTCTGATAGCTGTCAGTCTGTTCCATATATCCATGGTTCTGTTTCTATTTTGCTCACCAGTTTATTTTGTTAATTAGATTCCACATACAAGTGAGATCTTTACATATATGATATTTATCTTTCTCTGACTGGCTTATTTCAGTTAGCATAATAATCTCAAAGTCCATCCATGCTGTAACAAAAGGTAAAAGTCCCTTCTTTTTTATAGCCATGTAGTATTCCATTATGTAAATGCTCCATAGCTTTTTTTATCCACCCATCCACTGATGGGCAATTGGGCTGTTTACAGACTTTGGCTATTGTAAATGATGTTGCTATGCTAATCACTCCTGCATTTTTTTAAAGCAAGTCAGCCAGTACCTGCCCCTGAGCACCTCTCCTCTGGTGCCCAATGGCACTTTGTCCCTCTCACATCTGAGGCATGCCTTGGTTTCCTGAACAGGAGACAAGCACTGCCTAAGGATTTGATTGACTTTTAATATTCCTAGGAGCTACTCTACCACACTGAAAATATAAAACAGAAATGGGACTTTTCTCTCATTGCTTTAGAGAATATTTTATTCTTACTGCTTTGTTGACAGCATACCAGAAAAAAAAAAGGGGAAAGCCTTTCTTATTTACTATGCACTTAACTTTAAGGATGGGGTACATAAGGACATGCCAAGTCTTAATAAATGCAGAGCCTTTTGAGTGCCCACATGCCATCCCCTCAGCTCACCTCTAATGTCAGCCCCAGCTGCTTCAGACAGTACCATGCAAATTCCAGCTCAGCTAACAACTGGGACTCCTTGAGCAAGCATTGAGGGACTTTTTGTCTCAGGGCCATCTTGGAAGCCATGGGAGCCCACTTATCTGCTTGGGCAGTCAAGGGAAGCAGGAACCAGTGGCTAAAGATCCCACCACCCATCCTCTAGACAGAAAACTATGGAAGACATTCTGTACACTTAAATAAGTGTGCTGGTTAGAAATACTGCAGATACACTTCCATCCCTGTATAACTATAAGAATCTAACAAATCCTATGCTCTACCCTTGGGAGCAGCATTCTTGGCCTAGATTCTGTGTTACTCCCCAAAAGGCAAAATTCTTACCAGATCCAACAAAAACAATTCTAGTTGGTTCTCAGCATTAGCTGCATGTTGGAATTAACTGGGTAACTTTTAGAAGTCTTGATGTTCAGATTGCCCTCCAGAAGAAATTATATTGGCCTGTCTCAGGGTGGGGCAGCCTGCCCGTGTCTCACCCTTATACCGGTACCCAAGAGTTGCAATGCTGTCTGGGAATGCAGTCAGCTGAGCCCCACCAAGAGGGTCAAAAGGTGCAGTGAGGCAGCTCTCAAGAAGACCAGTCTTGACAGATTTAAGATAAATCCTCTCTTTTCCAGAATGTACTAGAAGTGGAGGGTCCACAAAAGTGGTAAGCAGATAAACAGATTATATACCAACAAATAGTCTTTGTTTTTATATAACTAAAATCATACTACACATATGCTTTGGAGATAACATTTCATCTAGTAATACAGCTACTATGTTTTTCCACATAAGTGCATATATCTCTATTGCATTCAATTTTAAAACTAACTAGCCAGTTGTCACTAACACCCTTGTTGAAAATCTGCTTCTTGCTCATTGATCTGAAATGCTATTTTTATAATATACCAAGCTTCTTATAAATAATCAGGTTATCTCTCAGGTCACTCATCTATTCTACCAATCTGCCAGCACCATCTGTTTTTATTTCTGTCATGTTGTAATACACTTGATATCTAGGAAGGCCATTACCCTCCAGGAGATTTTTTCATAATTACATTTATCTCTTGAATTCCACTGGAATTTATTTTTAAATATGCTACAATGTAAGGATTTAGAATAATTAATTTTCTATAATTGTCAATCAGGTACTCAATTACTAGTTACTGAGAAACCCTTCCATCTGACATTAACTTATGTCTACTTTATATACCATCATATTCTTATACAACAAATATCACCTAATCAATTCTGAACTGCTTACTCCCTTCCTTTAACTGGGATAAGATTCCCTGCCCTTAGGAAATGTATATTCTAGCAGGGAAATAGACAGTTTCTTAACTTCCTGTTTATTAGAGAGAGAGGGAAAGAGAGAGAGAAAAACATCAGTTTGTTGTTCCACTTATTTATGTATTCATTGGTTGCTGGGTTATTGTTTTTTTATGTACCCTGGCCAGGGATTGAACACATACCTTGGCATATCAGGATGATGCTCTAATGAACAGAACTACCCAGCCAATGCCCAATTAAATTTCAAAAACAAATAATTAATACATACAGTTGTAATATTTAGAAGATGGTAAGTCTTACAAAAGTAATAAGAACTGAAGAAAGGTAAGGAGTCCAGAAGTACAGAGCAGGGATGAGGACAAGGAGCAGGAAAGAATACAAATTAGGGAGATCAGAGAAATGCAAGAGTATAGTGAGGGAAGACAGGCTCCATTATAAAGAGGGGTGGCCAGATAGGGGGCAAGGAATGTGGGGTGCTGTGGGAGGAGGAAGTAGAGCAGGCTGCAATATAACAGAGGGTGGCACTGCAGACTTCATGGGGCTGTAACCTAATTAGGCACATAAAACCTCCTAATCAAAAGGGTGTGCACTTGGTTCAATGTTCTGCTACTGCAATCTTGAAATTCTTAATAATTTTATCTCCAAGACTGTGAGTGAAGCCCTACAAAGAAGCATGCACGTGAGTAACATGAATTATATGATATATATACAAATTGCCTTTCCTTGTAGCACCAAACAGCATGAAATAGAATCTAAAAAAGCAATACAAAAGATCAGTGAATCCAAGAGCTTGTTCTTTGAAAAGATAAGTAAGATTGACAAACTGCTACTCACACTCATCAAGAAAAAAAGAGGAGGATAATCAAAACAGCCTGGTACTGGCATAAGAACAGACACATGGACCAATGGAACAGAATAGAGAACCCAGAAATAAATCCAAGTCTCTATGGTCAATTAATATTTGACAAAGGGGAAAGAAGCATAAAATGAAGTAAAAATAGCCTCTTCAACAAATGGTGTTGGGAACCTGGACAACTACATTCAAAAAAATGAAACTCAATCACCATCTTACACCATAAGCAAAAATAAGTTCAAAGTGGATGGAAGACTTAAATATAAGTCATGATGCCATAAAATTCCTCGAGGAAAACATACACAGAAAAATCTCAGATATTCCAAGCAGCAATATTTTCACTGATATGTCCCCTAGAGAAAGGGATGTAAAGAAAAGAATAAACACATGGGACTACATCAAAATAAAAAGCTTCTGCATGGTGAAAGAAAACAGCACTAAAAAGAAAAGAGGGTGAAGGCTGGCATAGCTCAGTGGATTGAGCTCAAGCTGCATCGCAGCTTCGATTCCCAGTCAGGCCACATACCTGGGTTGCACGCCACGGCCCCCAGCAA